ATTCCTGCTAGTGAATTGGATCAAAGTAAATCTCAGCTTCCTAATACTAATCAACCAGTTTTCTTAGATGACTTATCAAAATTTCCACCTGAAGTTCAACATGATTTCGCCATTCTTGTTGCCAGCGGTTTTGATTGGTCTGCTGCGAATGTGGATCAGCCATCTCAATGTGGAATCAAGGTATCAAAAGGCAAAAAGATCAACAGTTAAGCCGAGGACAAGATCCAGAACTTCTAAATCAAATAAGTATTCATTATGGAGTTGTTGGATAGATTTTCAGTGTTGAATTTGTCGGTTTGGTATAGTATAATGGTACTACGATAGCACTACTTTATATATGTACATATTGGATTTGTATCGTTGGTTTTAGGTGCAGTTTTGGCATGTATTTTTTTTTTCCTTCCCGTTTAACTTTACTTACCTTAATCTTTGTAATCCTTTTATGGGTCCCCCACTTTGTACTTTTAATATTCTTTATAATATTAGTATTTTTGATGTGAAGGATGTGATTGATGGAGAGAGAGATGTTAACCTAATTAAGATCCCTCTTTTCATAGTAATATTATATTACATCTACTTTTTTCAAAAAAAAAAAAAAAATAACATTTATGGTTATTTTTTTCATTAATCATTTTTCTAAGCTTAAATTTTTGTCATTGGATGTCATCCTTCCTAATTACAATTATAAACATTTTATTAGTTTGACTTTGGCTTTACTGACAAGCATCAGTTACGTTCTCCATAAAGTATAATGGTTTAATTACATTAACAGATCCTAAATCACAATACTCACAATCACCTAAGATAATTAATATATCATATATGTTTCTAAATCGAGATTGTTGTCGCAATTTTAATTGGTGTGAACTTTGATATTGCGAAAAATTATAGGAAACTGCGGTCGCAACTCGCAATTATAGTTAAATTGAGTAAAAAGAAATAAGTTAAATTGTATTTTAATTTTTTTTATTTTTATTGATTTAAAATTTTGATTTATTTATTATTAAATAAAAATATTTAATTTTTCTATTTTTAAAAGTACATAATTTTAATTTTTTTGTCAATTTGATATATATTATTTATTAAATTTTGACATTATCTAATAATTTATTATTATTTAGGTGATATGATATATAAAGATAAAAGTTAAAAAAATAATAAACAACACATATATCTTCATTTGAGTTTATTTTATAAGTGATTCATATTTATTTTATTAATAAAAAATTTATTTATATTTTTTTATTTTTTATTTTTAAATATCATGTTATTTAAATATAAGTAAATATTATAATTTAATGATTAATAAATATTAATTTGATAAAAAATCAAATTTTCATATTTTTAAAATTAAAGTAACTAAATATATATTTTAAAATAAATGGTAAAAATTATAAATTAATAAAAATAGAATAACTACAAATATAATTAAGTTAAAATTTTACATTACAATCACAATTGTGGTTCGGAGCTACAATTTTAACTATGCTATCACACTTTATGATACATGGAATCGAATTGGAAATCCAAATCCCATTATAATCTACTTTTGTGTTTAGATGCGATGGTTTTCTATCAGGTGATATAATAAAATATAGAATTTCCTCTCTTAAAGCCAAGATGTTTTCTTTTAGAGAATAAAATATAAATATAATTATAAAATAAAAAATTAAAAAAAGATATTATGATTAATTTTAAATTTTGTTATATATATATATATATATATTAATATTAATTTTATCATAATTTTTCATTATTAATTTTTTAATGAATAATTATTATTATATTTTATTTCTTAAAGCACACTCTTCCCTAGGAGTTAAATTCTAAAATTTACTATATTATACTCTATCATGAAATTTTTAACTATAAGGGATCAAAAGTATATTTTTTTATGTCTTCAAATAAAGTATTTATTATATTAATTATTATTTTTAATAAGTAATTATTACAACAAACTCTCTCCTCATGTTGTATATTTACATCTTTTTTGTTCTTTTACTCTCTTAGAATTTTTTCTACAGGTTATCCCATGCTTTTTTTGTTGTCTAAAGAGTCAAAATCTTGATAAATACATCATCATGTAATGTTGTCTGTATAATGACAAGAGCTTTTCCTTCTTTTGCCACTTCGTTATATTATGACTCTTCCATTTGAGTTATTATTGGATTTTTTAGTAATGGAGGTGGATTATTTCCATTTTTCACTATAACCCACAAACTTTAAACTCTGAGATAAGTCCTCATTTTTACAGCCCACAAGTGATAGTTTTCACCTACAAATATGTACCGGAAGGGTCCTATCGGCCACGTGGATCGGCACATCATGACCTATCAGATATTGACGCATCTCGGACATCACTTCGGCTCGGTAAAGGGCCGAGACCGTGAAGAGTCGCAGAGAACCCAATCCTTTTCCTATCGGCTCGGCCAAAGGCCCAGGCCGAAGGAGTCGTATCGGCCGTCCTCTGTCGGCTCGGCCAAGAACCAACAGAGTCAGAATAGTTAAGACGATAATCATGATTGATAAAGGACAACACGCGATTAAGACATAACCAACCGATTAACATCGTATTACCTAATTTGGTAAATGTCAGAGAAGGCCCACCATGCTCAGGCCCACGACAGGTAGTATAAATAAGTCACATGAAACGAGGTATGTCACTGTTCATTTATTACTCTTGAGAATCGTGTTTGTCCTAACTTGAGCGTCGGAGTGCCTTTTGCAGGTACCTCTCCCTCCTCTGAAGCACCAATCCGAAGCTCTCGTCCGGCCCTCCAGTTACTAGAAGATTACGAGTGTGCCCTCAGACAGGTACATTTTGGCGCCCACCGTGGGGCTAAACCGAGAGACTTAAGAAGACACTGAGCATTATGGAAAGGACAAGGAAGACCAACACTGAAGACCACCGATCCGAAGACGAACATCGATCCGAGGCAGACAATGCCGAGACGGTTGACGAGATGAATATGGCAGAAGTAGTAAGGCAGATGAAGGAGGAAATGGCCTCCATGAAGCAGCAACGAGAGAAAGATGCTCGCGAAATGGCCGCTTGAGGGAAGAAAACGCTGCCTTGAAAACCCAAACCCAGGATCCCACGTGGAACCCCTCCGAGTCGACTCACACCCAGGGGTCGTTCCACTCGCTCGGACATCATACTTCTCTCCCTCACACTTCTGCCGTCGCCCCGGGAAACCACGCATCAGCTGCCCAAGTAACCGGCCAACCCGCGTACGCTCCGCTGACCGGAGCACATCGACACCCTTTCACCCCAAACATCATGCAGTCCTCCCTCCTCGATCACTAGAAGTCCCTCCCGTTAGACAAGTATGACGGAACCACCGATGATGTCGCCCTATGCCGAATTTTTCCAACATCATTGAAGGGTCGCGCATTGAGCTGGTTCACACGGCTCCCGGCCAACTCAATCGACTCCTTCAACACTTTGGCGTCCCAGTTCACCATCCAGTTTGCTACCAGCCGACCCCATCAGCTAACCTCTCTCACGTTGGTAAGAATAAGACAAGAGAAGAAGGAATCCCTTCGGACCTTCATGAGCCGATTCAACAAAGCGGCATTAGAGATCCGAGACCTAAATCCGGCCGTTGCCCTTCATCACCTGACCACCACCTTGAAGCCAGGACCATTTGCGAACAGTATCTGCAAGAAACCACCAACTGACATGGATTACTTGCGTCGGCACGCCGACAAGTACATGCAGATAGAGGAACTAGCTGAGTTTTGCAACCAAGCAAGGGCGGATATAGCCATCAAAATCGAGAAGCCGGTCGAGAACAACTATCGAAGCCGCCCGAAAGAGCTTGTACCCCAAGAGAAACCTACTCGTGGACCAAGGTACTCTCATTACACTCCGCTAAACACTAGCCGATCGGCTGTCTTGGATCAGGCACTCACGTCGGAGGTTCTAGCAGTGCCGAAGCGAGCCTCGACCCCTCCGCGCGCCGACACAACCAAGTCCTATAAGTATCATCGAAACCGGGGCCACTCGACCGAGGAATGCGCGGCCTTGAAAGACAAAATCGAGGACTTAATCAAACAAGGGCAGCTCCAACGTTTTGTCGACAGACCTCGTTCTCCTCGACACGAGGATCGTCAGCATCGTCGAGATCAGCCTAACCAAGATAGATCCGAAGGACATCTATCTTACAGGGAACGGAGCCGGTTGAGGAGCCGAAAGGAAGACGAACCGACAACCCAGCCCCGAAGAGTCATCAACACCATTGCCGGCGGATTTGCAGGCGGCGGCTCCACCTCTTCAGCTCAAAAAATACACCTGCGAGCCGTCCGAGCTGTGCACTCGGTTGAACGCATTCAGCGAAGGTTGCAAGCCATCACATTCACCGAAGCCAATTTTAAAGGTATCGATCCTGATCAGGACGACCCCATGGTTATCAGCGTCAAGATCCACAATTGTATCATTCGGAAGACGTTGGTCGATCAGGGAAGTTCGGCCGATATACTATACTGGAACACATTCAAACAGCTCGACATCCCGGAGGCCGAATTGATCCCATACAATGAACCCTTGGTCGGATTTTCTGGCGAGCGTGTCCAAACAAAAGGGTACATCAAGTTATCCACCCGTTTCTGCTTCGATGGAGCCGAAGCCCGAGACATCTCAGTAAACTACGTGGTTGTACATGCTAACACATCGTACAACATTCTTCTCGGAAGGCCTTCCCTCAATAAGCTAGGTGATGGAAGCACTTGGTGAAGAATTGATGTTCATCCAAGCTTCCATGCTTAGGACCGAATATGCTCTTGAGATAACACCTTCAAAGACTCTTTGAAGCTCCACGAAGCAACTCCAATGGAGGAGAAACACCTAAGGAGGTTAGGTCACCTCTTAGAAAGGTGAAGAAGCTTGAGGAACCAAGCTTCTAGGAGAAGGAATTTGAGAGAGAACTAAGAGAGAGTTCTCACGGATTTGACTCTTGAAAAATGAGAGAGAAATCTGATTTCTAATTCTCATAAATGTCCAAAAGTGAGTACAAGTGAAGGAATTACAAATATATAGGGAGAGGTAGCTTCTAGGAGAAGCTAACCTTAACCATGGTTCACTAGGAACCATGGTAAGGTGTAGCTAACCATCCATGGTTTCTAAAACTTGTAGGAGAAGCTATCATTGACCATGGTTCACTTAAGAACCATGGTAAGGTCAGCCAACCCTACCAAGGTTTAGAAACTTGGAGGAGAAGCTTCAAAAGCTAAAGAATGCACATGGAAATTTCGGCCAAAGAGAAATGAAGGAGCTAGGCGGCCTTGGCTTCTTTTTCTCCTTTGATTTATTTCAAAAATTATTGATTTGGTTTAGTTAGGTTCATCAAATGATGATGAGACCTAGCTAAATCAAATCTATGAAAAATTAGGAGAAAAATGAGTCCAATATGCAAAATTTTGCCTAGGCCTAACTCAGGCCCAATTTCTAAGTACACTCCCTAGCTTTGCTAAATGCCACCCCTTTTTCCCTACTGAAAAAATACAAAATGAATACATCAACTAGGGAGGTTAAATGGAGTTAAACTCTCCAAGTAGCCTACCTTAAAATCAATATACAAACACTAGAAAAAGCAAGTAAAGTGCCTTACAAATACAAAGGCAAAAATACACTAAAACAAGAGAACTATGTACAAACTTTATACAAATAGAACTAGGCCTTCTCTTCATGATAGAGTTGTCCAAGTGAAGAATACCTTGGGCTTAAGAAGCCCACTAGTCTTCAAGAGGTCCAACTCTTCTTGTATTCTTCTAGCCATAGCTCTGGTAACTGGGCCTTTGGCCCATGGTCTATCACTAGGTGCGATCGTGTCAACTCCACACTTAGCCATGAAATTCCCATCGGATTCAGGCCGAATCATCACGGTCCATGCTGATCAGAAAGCAGCCAGAGAGTGCTATTTCGCCAGTCTTAGGCTGCCTCATCTCGAAACGGCCAAGCCGCGCGGAGTAAAGCGTGTACACTCAGTAGCACAAGAACTTGACACAATTGTGGACCTCGACCCTCGAATGGAGCAGGACGAGAGGGTCAAGCCGATTGAAGATCGACACCCAATTGTTATCGGGCCGACCGACCTACACGTGACCTACATGGGCTCTAACCTGTCCGAGACGGAAAAGCGCGAAATCGGACAAGTCATTAGGAAAAACAAAGACCTCTTCGCGTGGCGGGCGGCCGATATGCCAGGGATCGACCCCAATTTCTTGTGCCACAACGAAAAAGAAAGACGGGGGAAGAAAGGAAAAAAGCAGTCGAAGCAGAAGTATCCAAGCTCTTGGAAGCGGGTTTCATTCGAGAAATCCATTACACAACATGGTTGGCCAACGTTGTCATGGTCAAAAAGTCGAATGGCAAGTGGAGAATGTGCACTGACTACACAGACTTGAACAAGGCCTGTCCCAAGGATGCCTATCCGTTGCCGAACATAGACCAATTGGTTGATGGCGCGGCCAACCATAAGTTCTTGACCTTTCTCGATGCATACTCGGGGTATAATCAAATCCGTATGCACCCCCGAGACGAGGACAAAACGACATTTGTCACGGAATCCGCCAACTACTGTTACCAAGTAATGCCTTTCGGCCTGAAGAATGTCGGGGCCACATATCAACGGCTCATGGACAAGATCTTCGGCGACCAGATTGGGAAGAACATGGAAGTTTATGTAGACGATATGGTGGTCAAATCGGCCGACACACTTTCCCATGTAGCCGACCTGGCCGAAGTTTTCCATGCACTTCGGAGGCACTAGATGAGACTTAATCCTGACAAATGCGTGTTCGGTGTCTCGGGCGGCAAGTTCCTAGGTTTTATGCTTTCAAGCCGGGGCATTGAGGCTAACCCAGACAAGTGTCAGGCTATTATCGGCATGAGAAGCCCATCAAACTTGAAAGAAGTTCAAAAGTTAGCGGGCCGACTAACAGCGTTGTCTCGTTTCCTACCATGTATGGCCGAGACCTCCAAGCCGATTCTTGGTCTTCTGAAAAAGGAAAACCGATTTCAATGGATAGATGAGTGTGAAGCATCTTTTCAATTATTCAAGGAACGACTCGGTGCCCCACCTGTGTTGGCCAAGCCGATCCCCAACCGAGAGGTGGTTTTGTACTTGGCGGTTTCCGGCGAGGCCATAAGCGCCGGCATGATCCAAGAACAAGACGACCAACAACAACTCATATACTTCATAAGCCGGGTGCTTTAGGATGTCAAGCGCCGATACCAACTCTTGGAAAAGGTAGCGTTGAGACTCATATATGCCGCTAGACGCCTTCGGCAGTACTTCTAGAGTCACACAGTGGTTGTCCGAATCGATTGCCCAATTGCTAAAGTGCTACGTAAACCAGAATTGGCCGGCCGAATGATGGCATGGTCGATCGAACTATCCGAGTTCGACATCCGTTTTGAACCTCGGGGAGCCATAAAATCACAAGGCTTAGCTGACTTCATCAATGAACTATCACCACTCGGCCACTTTGAAGATAGCACTTGGACAATGTGGGTAGACGGCTCCTCCAACGATCAAGGCAGCGGTGTCGGCATCATCTTGGAAAGCCCATCTGGCATTACCTTGGAACAATCACTACGCTTCGGCTTCCGGGCGTCCAACAAACAGGCCGAATACGAAGCCTTGTTGGCCGGCATGAGATTGGCAGCCGAGATGGGGGTTAGAAAAATCACATGCTGGACCGATTCAAAGGTTGTCACCGAACAAGTAAATGACAACTTTCAAGTGAAAGATCCTAATCTGCTTAAGTACTACCATCTCTTCTGAGGGATGAGCAATCAGTTCTAGGAGATACAAGTCAGGCACACGCCACGATGGAATAACGAATGAGCTGACCAGTTGGCTCGGCTGGCAAGTAGCCGCAAGCCGGGACAGCTCTGGTCGACAATACATATGGAGTTGCCCACCCCAAGCATCATACAAGAATGCATGCCGTTTGATGAAGCTCTGAAATCCTGGATGATGGACATTCTAAAGTTCATTGTGAATGGCTCGGGACCGAATGATCCGATCGAATCTAAGAAGCTGAGGACGCAAGCCGCTCGGTACTCCGTAGTGAGCAGAGAACTCGACAGAAGGGGATTTTCCGCTCCCTTGTTAAAATGCCTCGACTTACAACAAGCCGATTATGTCATCCGAGAGATCTATGAAGGTATCTGCAGATCCCACTCGGGAGGAAGGACACTCGCCACCAAGGTACTCAAAGCCGGTAACTGCACCGAGTTTGTTAAAAAATGTGTTCAGTGACAAAAGCACGGGACTCTCATCCACTCCTTGGCCGCCGAATTGCACAATATCAGTTCCCCTTGGCCGTTCGCCTTATGGGGCATAGACATACTTGGACCGTTTCCTATGGCAAAAGGGCAGGTTAAGTTCTTGATAGTGGCAATGTACTATTTCACTAAGTGGATAGAGGCCGAGCCGCTTGCTACTATCAATGCCACTAATGTCCAGAAGTTCGTATGGAAAAACATCATCACTCGGTTCGGCCTTCCACACGCAATTATCTCGGACAACGGACTTCAATTCACAGATAAAAAGTTCAACAGTTTCCTCGAGAATCTCGGCATTGTTCACATCTGTAGAGCACCCGCAGTCCAACGGACAGGCCGAAGTAGCCAACAAAGTCATCCTTACCGAACTGAAGAAATGGCTCGGCACAGCCAAAGGAAACAGGGCCGAAAAGCTCCCTGAAGTCCTCTGGGCGTACAGATGCACGCCCCAATCAAGTACAAAGGAGACCCCGTTCCGATTGGCATACGGCACGGATGCCATGATACCGGTCGAAGTCGGCGAGCCTTCATTCCGACGGACGCACTTTCACGAAGAGTCCAACGACGGCGCAATCTGAGCTGAACTAGACGTCTTAGATGAGGTCCGAGAGGAAGCACAAATCGTAGCCGAAGCCTGTAAACAAAGAATGACTCGACGATTTAACTCCAAGTTGAAGCCGAGAGACTTCCAAGAAGGTCATCAATAACGAGTTGAACCCGGCTGGAGGGAAGTTGAACTTGGCTGAAGGGAAGTTGGCGGCAAACTGGGACAGACCATTTCGAGTCCGACACGCTCTCAATAACGGCACCTACAAATTGGAAGAATTGTCAGGCAAGGTCATCCCTCGGACATGGAATTCTACCCATCTGAAGACTTATTACAGTTAGGATGATTCATGTACATATGTAAACGTCTTACGATGCACTTTTTTCCTTGAACCAGTCTTTTTCCCTCTTAAAAATTATGAAAAGAGGTTTTTGGCCGGCAAGGTTTTTAACGAGGCATCCACTCATTAATGACAACACAGTCCAATTATCTATGACTCATTTTAAATTTTTGCAAAATTACAAGTCTTCCCTCACGAGATGTCTCTCGGCCAAGGATGTGGCTTTTGTTATTAAGTCTTCCCTCCCGAGATGTCTCTCGGCCAAGGATATGGCTTTTGTTTCAATTAAGTTCAATTATTAAGTCTTCCCTCCCGAGAAGTCTCTCGGCCAAGGATGTGGCTCTTATTTATTATTAAGTCTTCCCTCCCGAGATGTCTCTCGGCCAAGGATGTGGCTTTTATTTATCATTAAGTCTTCCCTCCCGAGATGTCTCTCAGCCAAGGATGTGGTTTTTATTTCAATTATTAAGTCTTCCCTCCCGAGATGTCTCTCGGCCAAGGATGTGGCTTTTATTTCATTAAGTCTTCCCTCCCGAGATGTCTCTCGGCCAAGGA